AGGCCTCGTGGACATGTAGCATCGAACCACGAAGCTGAACAATCATTTGGCTGGATTTTCGTTTGTAATAGGGTTTCGAGGCTACGAGTAAATCATATATATGAGATATATTTAGGCTATTTCGTTTAAGGGGATGAAGGAGTGATAGTTTAATTTTCCCACAATGATATAAATAGACCTTTCGTTTCTTTTAAACTTCACAGCCTTGCTTTCCAAAAGGTATTCCCATCCAGGGTGGTCGCAGTTTCGCCCTCGTCTAGGTCTTATCAACAGCCCCAGAGGGACTCAATTCATGACAATGCAACGTATACTTTCGACACATTGACCACTACGCCACATTGCCGCGAGTGCCTTTGGGTCATAGGGCAGATATTAATTTAAAGGAAGGCTAGGCATTTTCCCATATCACATTCTGTGGTAGGATTGTGGATGCAAAAAGTTATATTTGCTATTTCAATCGACTATATTTCTTATTTTTCGTTTGCAAGAATGGTTGTGAGTCTGGATTATTGTGTCTCGACTTTCATTTCTAGGGAAAAGTTGTTCAAACGGAATTCGTGGTTTGGTCTCAACGGAAACTGAAATATGGTTTTTGGCTCTGACGATATATGTCAAATGATGGACAAAAGCTTATCCTAGATTCATCGGAGTTACAGGATGGTGAGCAGCGTACTTTTTCGCATATTCCAGCATTCTTCATTTCTGGTGCGATCAATTCGTGAACTTCTACTTCGAAATGAAAAGTTGTGTCACAATAAGTGAATGAGGGATTTTTCGAACCCCAGTCCTCTTCATATATTTGGCTGTCGTCCAATCTCTGGTCTCTGGGTCATCATAAATCGCCAGAATGGTGATAAAGTAGCATATACCGAGGCTTCCAGTGGAGAAGGCTTCGCTGAAAGATGGAATGGTGTCAACCATGAGGCCTGGCAACAATTTAGTTGAGGGGAGAACTATCAAACTTTTTTCAGAACTGCCTACTAGTGTGTACTAAACTCGTTCTGAGCAGGCCGAATGGCAAAAATGCATGGCCGTATCTTATCCAGAGATGGGAACCTGAGCGAGCGAGTGATTTAAGAGACTGTATAGAAAGGATTAGAGGGTGAAGATATGAAATTACGGTGCTTAGGGAGGAGACGGGGCGAGAATTGAATGGGAAAACGAGTGGATCGAGACCAGGAAGAGGGGCACAAAGTGGGCCGGAAGAATTAAACTCCTATAATGTCGGAAGTCATGGAGAGTGGCGCGGCACGATAACCAAAATAAGCCGTTCGGCTAATTGATATAGACGCGATAACGCGAGTCCAATTTTATGGGATTAATGCCAGTCTCAGAGGGGAATGATGCGAGGAAAAAACATTTTATTTGAGCTGGTAGAGTTAATAGACCAGTTGTTCATCGTGTTCTTACCTCCGGTCTCTTGGGTGGTCGTCCTCTCGAAAGGGTTGAATTAAAGCGGTGCATTTTCTGAATTTCACCGTAAACCGGGTTGGGAGGAGTCCAGGCTGTAAGGGAATCCGAGGCAGACTCAATGGCCTGCCGATTGTGTACAACACTCGATGTGTGCCAGATGGGCTTAACCTATTGTTCTCCTCTCGCGGAACATGATAGGAGGCCAGCAACAGGCCTATGATAGATACGGCAGCGAGGAAACAATAAAACTAGGCATCGGGCTATATCTGTTCTTTGCACCAATGTTATGCAGGCAGTCGAGGGCGGCCGTGTGTTTATCGTGGAGACAAAAAATCACCAAATTTCGACTTGTTAAGATGATAATAAACTCGAAAAAATAGTCTATGAATTGAAGGATGGCGGAGTTTGTTGGCAGGACTAAGGGAGACAGCCTTGATGCGGATGAAGTGAAAAACGGGTCTTAAATTCCCCGGAAGAAGGCTGGCCAGCCACCCCAACCTTGAGGCGCAATCCGGCTCGAGCTGCGTTTGTAGTTGCCTCTAAGGCATCATAAAGAGGGCCCTGGGGGACAGAGTAGAAGGGGAGGACAGTGAGAGTACTGAATTCGTGTGTCTGCAGCTTCCCTTGCAAGTTCTCGACCAGATGGACCACAAGCGCACACAAAAGCCCCATTTAGTCAGACAGCCAAGTCGAGGCCTTACTGTATCAAGTCTCAAGGCAAGATATTTTCGAAGAGCAAATGAACATAATCGGTCCAAACTTGTGTCGTACATTTAAGAGTTTATGAGGTAGACGGTGTACTAAATGCGAATTGTGTTTTATCCTTTCATATTATTGAT